ATCCCCAAACATACTTATATCTGACTTAGCACTAAATGATTCCAGATCTCTTCTTTGAAATTTTTAAATTTGTAGCATGCATTTTGAAAGAGGCATTTCCAATTTGGTGTTTTTTAAAAGCTAACTGCTTGCCCTAGAGTTCGATTAAAATAAGACAAAATGGTTTAGGGTGTTTTTTCCTGGTAACAGTTTCAGTAAGCTTTTCCTGCCCTGCCTATGTGCCTTTTGTTGTTGATTGCTTCCCCCCCTCAAGCAGGACGATAGAAATCAGAAGGCACACTCTTGAGCATCTTTTGTTTGACTCTGGCATTTTTGGGATAGATTTAAGTATTTTTTGAGTTACAAACCAGGATATTTTGTAATAAAGATGGTTTTTACCTCAAAACTCATGTGATCTCAGTTATCAAATGTAGCATAAGTAAGAATTTTTTTTTTTTGCATAGTGGTGTCACATGTCCAGATTCAATAGCCTCTGATAGTCTTCAAATTATATGTTTGTTTTAAGGGTTAATTGGTATATAACCTCTGGATTTTTAAACTGATTGTGTTTCTTTAAGCATGGTCTGATTATCTTTCACTGATTGAATTACTTTGATGCAAATCACTAATAGGCCTCTGAAAATTGAATCCATTGGAATTGATTTTAGTTGGAGGGGTTTTTTGTGCTCTATTTGCATCTGTTTTCCCAGCTCTTCCATTAACTTTGTTACCAGGAAGTCTTGTCCACTGAAAGGTCATTCTGTGTGCATTAAGCAAAACTGTTTCCACTTTCTTTTTCTGTCTCTCATGAAAGGAAATTAAAAATTGCAAATTTAAACATAAAATGCATAGTAAGAAGTTTCTTTACCATTTTATTTCTAAACAGATACTTTTAGCTTTAAAGAGAGCACTGCACCCAGTTGTGTGTATTTCAATTTGTGCTTTGGCAGATAAGCTCTAGTTCTCTTTGGTGTGAGAAATTAATGTACTGCAGTCAGTTCTGGGCTGGGCTTCATTTTTGTAGGATTTCAGGCTCAAGTTTGGTTCATTGACAAGAGATGTCATCCTCAATGACTTGCCCTTATCTAGAACTTGATTAGTGTGCTTCTATTTTGAGTCTCTGTTCTCTTTCTTTTAAGGCTGTTTAGTTTTGAAAAGAGTGCAGACAGGTTGTTTGGCTGTGTGTTTAATATACTTTTAAACCCTTCTGTCCTGCTAGCCCTTTGTTTTTCCTGGAGGAGGCATAGCTTCAGTCGAGACCATGTTGTAATAGATGTTCTTTGCACAAAGTCAATTTTTCATCCAAAGTTCATGTGCTACTAACAGCCATGGTGCACATTAAATAAAATGTTGAAAATCCTTAACTTAGGTTACACACACCAGGTTAGTGTTGCTGCCCTTAATGCCATGTTTTACATGTATCTAGCCTGTGGGGAGAGGAGAAATGCTCCTTTGCAGTTTTAAGTTGTAGGGCAAGCTTAATTAATTTACCTTCAAATGCTTCAATAATTGCAAAATCAGAAACCCAATCCAGAGAAGGAATCTGTATTTTTGTGCCTTTTTCATTAATTTTTGTAGGATATTTGTTTGGACTCCTGAAAAAGGCCTTTCCAGCGAAAAATGAGGATCAAAATGTGGCATCCAAAATGCAAACAATTTTAATCTGTAAAATCCATGAAAAGAGAGATGGTGATTTGGATTTACTTGTTGCCTGAGTGTAATAATTTTGGAAAATTACTGATTGCCTGTTGTCCATGCAAGCCTGGTATAGAGAGACAAGGCTGACATTTTAATGGGAGGGGAGATTGCAATAACTTTTTGGTTCCCCTTTCATCACTGTGACCTGGCAAATGGCTTCAGTACGGTCATAAGCACATGCACTTGTCACATTCAGGCATGTGAATATTTTGTTATTCACTGACAATAAGCCAGCAGCCTTGAAATACAAACTAGGTAGCATGCAAACCACTGGTAGTTTGCTGGTATTGTAGCAGCTAAAGAGAGCTTTTTAAAATACTTTTTATAAGATATGTTATTCAGATTTAATGTAGTTGTCAAGAGTAATTTTTGATTCTTCTGTTTTATTGAACTATATATAAAACCATGCCAGAGTAATTGTATGGACAGCAAAACTTTTCATTTAGGTATTTCCATTAACATATGTCGAGCTAAATAATTTCTTTCATTGACCTTTTTCTTAACTCAATGCAGTATTTGAAATTGAAGGGGAAAACAAATTATTGTGTTGTTGTTTTAATTGAATTACTAATTTGTATGTAAACTCGAAGCACTGGCTTTGGCAGTCTCTGGTGAAACAGTCTAATGAAACCTGACAGGCTTAGGAATTTGTTTCTTCGTGTGCAAAAGGAAAGCTGCCAGATTTTTTTCCTTCAGTATTGGCAGACAGGAAGCTTTTGGTATTGTGTTGATGCTTGCAGAGCATTACTAATTATAAAAAAGTAATTGAGCAACCTTTGAAGAGTTCTGGCGCTCTGACTTAAGTGTTAAATGATTCAAACAATTCTATAGAAGATCCTGTCTGCTTTTCCAAAAGTGTTCCTTGTTTGTATCATTCCTTGCAAAATTTCACAGTAGGGAAATACTTCATGGTATGACTTCAAGATGATTAATATAAAGATCTGCCTTTAAACTAAGAATGCTGTTGACATATTATTTATTTTGAAACCATCTCTTTAATATGTAGTCTTTTTTTCTACTTTATTTTATTAATATATTGGACCTTCTAGTCCCAGGAAGTCCCATTTGAAAATGTGGTTTATTACAACAGTTGGATTTTCTCTCCATAGTTAATTATTTTCATTTTTAAAAACATAACAAAATATTTTTGGTTTTTTGGTTTGTATAAGACAGCAGTGGTTTGTATAAACCACTTCTATAAAAATAAAAATATTTTTGTTTTGTAGTTATTGAAACTTACATGAAATCCCTGTGATAGTTTTAACACTCAGCTTGGGCTCAGAGATTATTTAGATTTTTTTTAGCATCAAATGAATGGCAGATCATATAGTATGTTCTGTATGACAGAATGGCAGGCTTGGGAATTGGGATTGAGAGGTCTGGGCAGTTATATTCAAACTTCCTTGAGGACAGGAGAGGTTTGAGGCAAGCAATTAGTTACTTAAGTTCTCTATTGTAGACAAAGCTGTGATTATTAAGACAATTGCATTTTATAGTTTTAAATGCATTTTTATAGAGAAAAGGCTTACAACAGTAGAAATGGATGTGTTTCTTTAAAAAATAATATGATTAGCATAGAATTACAAGAATTCTCATTTCACACACTTTGGATACTAGAACATAGCTGGATCATTTCTCTTTGCTTTTGCACTAAGACAGTTGCTTTACAGAAGTGTACAAAAAGATTTCTTGGAGTAAGGATTAATAAATTATTTGCAATTTTAATCATTTGAATATTTTTATCAATTTGCATATGAATACTTGAAAATTGCCATTAAAGGTTTTGACTGTTTAGTACAAATCAGTTTAACACATTAACTCCTGGGGTTTGAAAGAGATACATGTTTGTAAGGCAAGTACAGGCATCATGTCCTGAATATCTCTCCAAGAACTGGTGATTAAGTGTGCTAGAAACTATTAAGGACATGGAGAATGAGGACAAGTGTCATGGTGTGATGACCATTACTTTTATCAATATGCAATGTGCAACTGCAGGCTGTTAGAGGGGATATTTGTTTAGAAGAATGAAGGTCAGTGATCCTTCCATTTATTTAATCTGGCTGAAAAATGTCCACCTGCTCTGCAAACTAAAAATATGGACATAATAGCCAACTTCAGTCCCTTCTGTTAAAGTTTAAATTCAGTCTCAATTCTTAATATCAGCAGGGACACTCAGCTTTTACCAAGGGTAGTCCTTGGGAAAAAGGTGTTGGTTTTGCTAGAGAAAATAAAAACCATTTTTCCTCTTTGGTTTCATCCCTGTTCTTAGTTTACAATTGCATTTGAAATGGCAAAAGTGTTTCCAACACATTATGCTTCTACACTTCTGTGTGAGTTTTAAGTGTACTGGTCTGAACCATGTTCTCATGTCTTTTTATTTCTCCCTTTTTGATTTAGCTCTCTTAGGAGGGATGATGTGTAGAAAGATGAACTGAAGCAAAAATTTTCTTACAGATGTATCCTAAAATGAACAGGTTCACAATCTGCAAATCTGTGATACTCTAGGACATTTATTCTCTGATACATTTTTGTAGTTAAGGTGGTAATCTTTTGTGTCTAGGTATTGTTTGACCACAGTATGTCTTATGTGTTGCTAGCCAGCATTATTTTTTTTATAAAAGTTAAATCTTTCTGTGTAATAAAGTCTTGATGGTTCTATCTTTGATATTTAGCTTGCATTCAAAATGTGCCTGGAGTTTTGAGATGATGAATAAAAGTACCAAACAGGTATAAAATAAATATTAAAAGTCAAATACCCTCTTTGAATATAAGAAGTTTGCTAATAAATATTTGCAGGACTTAATAATGACAGTCTTGACAAACTTCTTCATAAACCAACCTCAATTCCAGCACTTTATTACTTTACAGATGCTAAGCATCTATCCTGGAGGCCAGACCTATATTATTCCTGCTTTACAAACAGCAAAACTGATGTGGAGGGATTGGTTCCGCTCCGTGCCTCCAGGGCATCTGTGCCAGTTGGAAGTAGAACAGGCTTGTCCTTGACAGTCGAGGTGAACAGGAGAGAAACAATCATACTGTGCCTGTTGTTTTACTGTTGTGTTGGGTTTACCTGCTGCTGGAAATTTTGCACAAAGGGGAAGGTTTATGTTGTGATGCTGCCAAATTGGATGGCTCACAGGCTGTTTAGTGGTTGTCAAATCCCCGTGGTGTTCCTGAGCTGACCGTAGTGGTGCAAACCCTTCTGCTTGTTCAGACTGTTACAAGTTGATCTAAAAAAAAAGTATCAAAAAAGAATAATTGCACCCTCATTACTTTTGCTTCTTATTCCTCCTTTTCTGTTTACTGTATTTTATTTATAGGTGTTGATTTTAAAATCAAAACAGTAGAGCTAAGAGGAAAGAAAATTAGATTACAAATCTGGTAAGTAAAACAAACATGCAACCAGCAGTATGTTTTAATTTTTATGTTCTAGCATGAATTAATATGCTTGTCTAATACTACTATTAACTGTTATAAGCTGGTTTAGCTCTTACCCTATTACTTCTCTCCTCCATTCCCACAAGACTTAAACCAAACCAAATAGCTCTTAGATTTTTTGAGGGTAAAAGGAGGAGAAGGAGAGATAAAGTTTGAAGTAGGGCATGAATGTAATTACTGAAATATTAATGCATCACAGAGGCCTTGAGCCCCTTTTCCTGGAAGAATGACATCACCTACATAAGAAATAGGAGTTCTACAAACAACAAAAGTTGACTGTGTTAAATAGACACTAGAGAAAGTATATTTTGTTTTCTTTATTTTTCTGGACTGATTACAACTGACCTTCATTGTAACAGCAATTATAAAGCAACTGTGAAGTATTTTCTAAACTGTTTTTCTGAAACGTGGTATAGGCAGTGCTGTTTCTTTGGCACTGTTTTTAAATAACTTCAAAGTGAAGGGCATTCAGGACTGAAGTAAATCATATCCACTCTAAACAGCATGGAAAAATAAAGCAATCCCATGCAAATTAGGCTATACCTTTATTGGTACTGATGTCCTACTACAGAAAGCTCAATGTCTGAGCTAAACTCTTCCTTTCTGCAGTAGTCTACATGATTTCTGGTAATGGTTCTCCATGTTAGTGATTAATACTGTTTTTATTGCTTAGAAGTTATTGAGCTAAACACTCCTTTGTTTTGCAGAGTAGTACAATACATAAGCATAATTATGAGAGAATAAACCAGCTATGTTCTATACATTAATCTTACATACTACTATGTAGAAGCTTAGCTCTGGTTTATTAACAGTGTGTGATGCATAATTAGCATTGTAGTTAAACTGTTTAAGCTGCTAACAATCCATAGGGGGGGGCAAGCTCTAAATATTCTTTTTATTACACTTTTGGGATGTTCTGGTAGTTTTTCATTCTTAATTACATGGATGCAGTGAATTCAGTGTACTAACTCCTCTTGGCAGGTCACCATCAATTCTGTCTGTCACACCATGTGTCTGTCTTGCTTCCCTCTGAGTTAACTGCTGCTTCATCTTTGGTCTCATCCGTCACCTAACACTTGAATGTTAGTGGCATGTCTTCATTCATCTGTCCCTCTTTGGAAACCTCTGACCACAAGACTGGCAGTTGAGCCAGCAATTGTTAGCCAGGGTCTGCTGGAGCTGACAGAGGTAACAAAAAATTCTGATGTGGAGATGCTAATGTATGCCTAATACGCATTCTTACTGTGAAATGTACTAAGCTTATAAAAAAAATTTCTCATGTTGAATAAATATATTATAGGAGTGAAAATTTTTGGAAAAGAGATGTTTAAACCATTATTTTCCACATATTGAGAATATGCTAGTAGGATATAGGACACTTTAAAAATTGAATTTAAAAGTGGATAGGTTGTTAGGATGTGATAATTACTCCTATGGGAAGCCTTACTAAAGTGGCAAGGAAAACACAATGTAAAGAGATAATATTTTAAAATATGATAAAATTCATGAACATGACATCCTGCTCCTAAGTGTCACTTTCTCTCCAACAGTGGCTGTTAAAATGTTGTTCTTAATCTTTAAAACTGCCTTGGCATGCTTCCAGGTTTTTTAGAAAAGCAAATACGTATGACTTTTGCTAATTAATTCTGAATTCTGTTTTGTTGTGTCGTTGGGCCTGCCTATAAACTCTTATTATCACAGAATCATTTAGGTTTTAAAAGACCCTTAAGATCAGTGAGTCCAACCATTAACCCAGTGCTGCTAAGTCCACCACTAAACCCTGTCCCCAAGGGTCATGTCTGCATGTCTGTGAAGGTGACACAACCTGGGCAACCTGTTGTGCTTGACAGTCCTTTTGGTGAAGAGATTTTTATTCCTAATAGCCAACCTAAACCTCCCCTATTGGAACTCGAGGCTGTTTCCTCTTGTCCTGTTCCCTGTTGCTTGGGAGAAGAGACCAACCCCACCCCTGGCTACAGCCACCTTTCAGGGAGTTGTAGAGAGTGACATGGTCTCCCCTGAGCCTCCTCCAGGCTAAACACCCCTAGCTCTTTCTAGTACCTCCAGTTGTTGGATTGAAGAGGAAGGCAGTTTACCAAGTCAAACACTTGGAAGTTTAGAAATGCAGACTTCAATTGCATGGCTGATCATAAGTCAGTCTCCTTTCATACCTACACAGTGACAGAATTCAGGCTTCCTCATAGTTCCTGGTAGTGTTACATACGTTGATTGCAGTAACTTTACTACAAAAAGACCTGTTTAGTTCAGTGAACAGATAATTTCTGAAGTTTACATTTTTCTGTTTTCTTAAAATGGCTAAAGTTAAATTTCAAAGCAAGAAATTTTGCTTTTTTTTAATTTTTTTTTTATTTTTTAGTAATCTGATGATTCTACTTCTAGAGTCAAACAAGAATGGTTTTTAAAAAGTTTACTTCGGTGTTTTTATGGTCACTTGACCTGTCTTTCCCCTAACCACTATCAGCAGAGTGTTTTCCACAAAGCTCTACCACTTGAGATTATCAGAAGATACATTGAAACAGTACAGGGTTGAATATTTCAAGTGATCAGCAGTGCAAGACGTCCTTTTGAAAGCAGCTTTCACACTTGCTGCTGTTAGGAGAGTAGAATACAGAAGGACTTGTCTCCCTTGTTCCTTTCATAATGGGGAACTGTGTCCTGAGGATCACAGAGGCATCTGCTCTCACATCCAGCTTCCTATCTGTTCCCTGCTTCCCCTATTTCCCCGACTTCCAGTTGGGAAACAACCTTCTACTCCTTAGATGATGCAATGGTAGAGCTTCACTGAGGACACAGGGTACCTTTTCTGTGCCACCTGGAGGAGTTAGTAGTGCCCCTTGGGTTGCCAGAAGTGTTAGGATTCAGTAAATCAGCTTCTGCCTTGCAGTTCTAGGCTGTCACAAGCTCCTGTGTCCTGTGAGAAGTAATACCTGCATGCAGCTCAAGTCATGAGGTAGAGTAACCAGAACTACTGGATAGTCTAAGTGTCCAGGTAAATCCAAGCATCTGTGAATCAGTGCTTCTTCAAAGCTGGAAAACCGGATCAAACAAATAATAGGAACCCCTCAGTGATGCTTTGAAGCAGGACAGGAAGGAAGGCGTGTGACTGTGCCCTCTCAGCTGAGTAATCTGGGCAGTTGCTGACACAAGCAGCTGACACAGTGACTCCCAGCTTCCCCTCTGAAAGGAAGGAGCTGGCTGTGAGAAGCAGGGCTGCCCTGCACTGCACCCAGTTCCTCCCTAGCCAGGGGAGCTCTCTGGTACCTCTACAGGTTTAATGCTCAAGGTAGCCAGCGACCTGGGAACAAAACAAGCTTCATTTGCTTCTGAAGGTGTTTTAAACCGGTGCAGTCTCATTAAAAATTCTCATTCTGCCTGCTCTGTTTTCTAAGAGACAGTTGTCTTGGAATGTACCTGTTCTAGAATATATAAGAATGTTGTTTCTTTGGGTTAGTACATCTGAAATAAATTATTTCTCTAATAAAAGATCCTAAATATATTTTTGATTTATGGGACGAAAAAAAAATCTCTTTAACAAGTAGAATTGACCTCTAAAATTACCTTAAAGCATTTTTTAAAATACTGCCTGTAGGTTCCATAGAAGCATAGAGCATGTGAAAATGTTAAATTAGTGTTAAGTTTTTATGTAAGTTTCAAAATATTTTCACTTCTATTGCCACTTTACAGCACCACTCATAACAAATAAATTTAACTAGAGAGCCAGAGACAGTTTTGAGTCTGTCCAGGTGTTTGCTTCAACTGGTTTGGATAGACACAGAGAACATTTATGTAAAAGATAAATTATCCAAAGATACTTTAATTAAGATGGACTGTATTTGTGTTGTGGTTTATGCAGTCTGCCATAGAACATGACAAGTGTACAGTCGAAAATGGGCTTTGTGTGATATTTTAATTTGCTTTTGTTTGTTGTGTGTTTGTATTTTTGGAATGATGTCTAGTTTCTGTTTGGGAAGCAAAAAACAGTCAAGCCATTGGATTCTCTAATTGCAGATTACAGCTGGTTGAGGAGTCATACACTGTATGTTTCATACACTGTATGATTACAGATTAGAAAGACCAATGCTTTTCATTTAGAAAGTTTTCTTGGAAAAAAATTCAACAGAAGAAAACTGCTTTAAGCATTAAAAAAAAAAAAAAAGTAATCTGATGAGGGTTTTTTTCAGTTATGCCAAGTGCTTGTTTAAATTGTAGTAACTTATTTGAACTTCTGGAGTTCAATTTAATTTGAATTAAATTGACCTCCCTTCTGTTATTGTGTTGATTCTGACCAGAGCAAATAAAGAACTAGTAGCACTTAGTATCACTCATGAAAGTCATGAGTGTTAAACAGTGGTCATCTTTTCTTCCAGCTTTCCAATAGTGCTTCAATAGCTATCCTTACTAAAATACTCCAACTGCAGGAGTGTAATACATCCATGAAAATAATATAGCAAGAATAATTGCTCCAGCCCTGCACATTAGAAGAAGGCATTTGAAGTTGGATGTGCTTTTAATGTTAGCTCTGCATTAGGAGTGGTCATTTTTTTTCCTCAGTACTGGAAGAATTTGCAGCACATTTTCATGAAAAATATGATGGCACCTAGTAGAAGAAAAGATTTTCCATGCTAAAGATGAACTTAATACTCAAACTGCAGTTTACTTAGGTAGCCTGGGGTTGCATTTTAAACTTACTTATTGCAGAAATAGTTTTCCAAATAGCTTTCACCTTACAGTTTGAAGACTAATACAACATAAGGGTAATGTTAGAGACAGCAAAATCAGCTTGTTTTCTTCCACTTTTCAAAGGAAATAAAAAAGGGTTAGAATATCATGCTCACAATCAGACACCTGCTGACTGGTTTCATTTCCACCTGCTGCAGGAGGAGAGGTGAAGTGTGGGGGAGTCAGTGACTTCAAGCAAGGCGAAGAAAGTCAGCCATAATCCACTGGAATTGGCATGACCAGGTGACAGTCAGTGGTCATCTGGCCATTTCTTGTAGGTAGTGGGCAGCCAGGCTGTCCATGGGTGTTCTGAACTGGCCACAGCATGTGCTGTGTCCCAAACAGCCAGCAAGCCTGACTACAGGTTGTCACATGTGGGTGAAGGACCTACACAAACAGGAGCACAGGGTGGAGCAGCCTAGGAATGCTGTAAACTTTTAAAGAGCCTGAGGGTGTTGTGGAGAGAGGAGAAGCTGATAGTACCAGGTGGACTTGGAGACAGAGCACTCAGCAGGGCTGGGGAAGTGTGGGGTTGGAGATAGCTGGAGTGGGAGAGTTTTGTAATGTTGCATAGTTCTTCTCTTCATGGCCTACTTATCCAGTGCACTGCTGACTGCCTTCAGGGAGGGTAGTGGGACATCAGTGATTTTATAATGTATGTACTCAGTGATCTGGTACCCTGTGATGGAGTTGTTAAAGGTCCTTAGCACTCACCTGAAGACACAGACAGGTGACACTGAAATACCCTCTTTATTTCTAGTAGGGGCACAAAAAAAAGGGAAAAGACTGGCCAGCAAAACAAACTGACAAACAAAACCAAAAAGCAAGTTTTCCCTGCTCTGAACAAAGATAGAATTGGTGTATTCTCCCACATGAGATATGCCCTTCCACCTGCCATGTAGTTATTTGTGCTCAGAATGATGAAACTTAAGGTCCCCCACCCTTAATACACTTCATCAGTAGGCTGGATTAGCAACAGATGATACAGGCTGCTCTGTGAGATCATAATTCTGAGAGTTCTGTTTTTAAGCGCTAGAGCAATGTTATCCATATGTGGAAAATCAACGGTTCATACTAAAATTACTAATTTTTAACAGACTGAACATCCAAAGGACCTTCCAAAAAATGAATCTGACCATAACAAAGGAGTAATGGAAAAGAATGTGGAGTTACTTGCTCTGAGTAATATTATATATATATAAAATTTCAGCTGCCAGAACTTGTATTGCTTTACAAAAAATGCCTCATTAGTGAAAAGAAAACAACCAATTAACCATCTAAAACTGATCTGCAATATTACTGGTGCTTGACCTTTATGAAACAAACTGCCTATTTTCATTTTCTGTAGGGTCCCAGAGGTTGATATGAATGTAATTCTGAAGTTCTGAGAGTGGGATTTGAATAAAAATAAAACAAAAATGGATGCAATAGGAATTTGTTCTTCTCTGCCCTGTGTTGCAGTGTCATTGGCTTGCAGTGAAGTATAAGCCATTATTTTCCCACAGGCTATGAAGCAGAGGTTGCAAATCTTTTTCTAGTGGACTCTGCTTTACTCTGTAAAATCACTAGCAAATATTTGTTGCTATCAAGTACACTTGTGGCAATTTCAGGGGCAAGTTAAATACTTCACTTTGAAACTTGCTTGAAATTCCTCAAGATTTTATGCAAAATAAGATAGGTTTGCGGTAATATATTCTATTGCTTGTGCATAGAACCTTAAAGGGGTTAAATCTTCAGGACAATCAATGTGGCATTTTGTGAACATGACTTTTTTTTTTTTTTTTTTTTTTTTTTTTTTTTGGTAACAAGTGTTTCAGGTCTCCATTGTTAATCTCATTCCCGAATTCATTCTCTTCCCTTTGTTTAAAATGTGACTGTTGAAGAGGATTAATTTTGAAGTTTTGAGTCCCAACACACATGCACACAATTTTCCTCCCTCTACTCTTAATTTTGATCCATCTTTTGACTTGTTCTAACTTTGAAATTGCAAAATGATCCATTGGCTTTGGGGACTGAACTCAAGCAGCAAATGCTTGATCACTTTGGAGCACCATATAACCTACTTTCCAATTGAGATGCCAGTCACATTTAAAGACTTAGGATATGCACCAGCTATTTTTTTAGTATAACTGCCAAAAACCCTCCCTTGGGAGGCTTGATGATGTGATTAAAAGCAGTTCAGAAGTTTTCATGGTTCAGTAAAAAACAACTCTTCTGTCTCATCTACTTTGGAACAGAAGCCATAGCTAGTGTGGGTGACTTAGTGCCGTTGCTGGAAATTATTCTCCAGTGTGAATGCACCCTGTCTGAAATACCTGCAGTGAGCACAGAAATGTTACCTGCACACCTCAGATAAGTAGATATAAGTGTGAAAGCCAGGTCTCTAGTGCAAAAGTTGTACCACTTAGTGATTGCTCACTCTTGTGAGCAATTCACTTTGTGCCAGGAGGTTTTGCAGTAGTTTTAGAACCATGGCTGAATTGCTGTGGTTGATCCAAAAAGAGTCTGAAAGCTCAAATGATACTGATCGGTGCATTGCTCATTTTATTGTTCAGTGTGTAGATGTATTTAATAAGCATGTATCCATTTTTTTCTTTATTTTTTCAGGGCTCTTAAAAAACCCAACCAAAAGTCCACAAAACACTCAACAAACCCCAAAACCACAAAACCAGCTTTATCTCCTGGTACATTTTCATTGGATAGCTTCACTCTCAGACACATGTAGAAATGTTTGGTGGCCTTTCTTGGTGAAGTTAGTATGGGATAAATAGCTTTTTGAATATGAAAAAGTTTTATGATTGAAAGTACTGCTCCATTTTTTTCCTGAAATTCACAGATATGGAAGGAAATCTGTAGTGTCTCTAATGAATGTGGGAGTGTTGTTATTAAAATGTAAATGAAGTTATTCTGTACTTTGCAAATTGATGAAATATTTGTGCCACTGTTTGCTGCTGCTTCTTAGGGACACAGCAGGTCAGGAGAGATTCAACAGCATTACCTCAGCTTATTACAGAAGTGCCAAGGGAATTATTTTGGTGTATGATATCACCAAGAAGGAAACATTTGACGATTTACCAAAATGGATGAAAATGATTGATAAGGTATGCCTTAAGTATTTTCTTTTTATATGCTTTTTTTAACAAGGATTTTTTTGTCCCCCTCAGAGGAATTTACAGCATGGGTTTAGGATTAATAAACTACTGTCAGATAGTTTGCACTGATAACTTTTAGCCAGGATTTAACATTGATGAGTTTTGCTTGCAAAATGGTTGTCCATTCCTGCTTTCTTGAACTAGAATTGTCCCAGTTAGAAGTGTCAGTGAAAATCTGTAACATTGCTCATTTACCTTTGCAGTGGGGGGAGGGGGGTTTGTTTCCTGTCTATGAAATAAGGTCATTGTGTTCATTCTTAGATAAACTGGAGCAGCTAGTTCTCAAGTCACGTTTTAAAAATGAAATTTAAAAACTGAAAATTTTTGAAATAATGTTTGGGAAGAGCATTTACCTATAAACTATGTCAGTGTGATAGTGGAATTGCCCTTTTTTTGTATTGTGTTTGCATTACAAAATCTTATGTTTCTAGGTGTAGTTAATTAGAAATGTTTTAATTGCAGTATGCTTCAGAAGACGCAGAGCTTCTATTAGTTGGAAATAAACTGGACTGTGAAGTTGATCGAGAGATTTCTCGGCAGCAGGGAGAGAAGGTAAGGACAGGTGTAGAGGCAAAGCTGTTGTGGCATTGCTGATGATGGTCTGTGGCTACTCTTGTTCAGACTGCTGGATGCAGGGAGCATATTGAGAGTGGTGGTGGTGGGCTCTCAAAATCCATGTGGTGATGTGCAGTTATAAGTGTTCCTGCTGGAGTTGTGTGTCTTTGGTCTAAAAAAAGAGTAAGCTACAAGTCAGCTTCCACTGTACCAGTAGTGTATGGGATACTCCTTTCTGGGCTCTGAAAGGGGGCGTAGTGAAGATTTGAAGCAAAAATGGAGATCTCTAGTCAGGAAATCTTTGTGGGTCTTCTTTCAGATGTTTGCTTCTCAGTACTGTTTTTGGTCAGGCAACAGCCCTGCTTTGATTATTGGCTCACCTTTGTTTTCATGTTCCTTTTGTTCTCTTGCAACCCCAGAAGTGTTAAGGAAGCTGGCAAGAGAATATGTTTGTTGTAGAAGCTGGCAAGAGAGTATGTTTGTAGTGTGATACTCAGCACTGTCTTGACCAGAATTATGTCAGTATGGGCGTACACAAACATCTGGAAGTGAAGGCTTATTCCAAACTTCTGCAGGTCTTGCATCTGTACCTTCCTTTTCTACATTTTGAATAATAAAGTTGAGATTAGCTGTTCTGAGAAGTTCTTCCTTTTTGGCAGTCTGCAGCAATACGTGTCAACTGAATACATGAATTAAGTCTGGAAAAATGCAGAGTACTTTTCCAATAAACGTATTTTAAGCAAAAATTAACTACATGTTGCAATATTTTCTCTACCATGCAGATTTAGGATTATTAATTGAATCAGACTTCCATCTCAGATTTGGGGAAAGTTGCGTGTTTGGGGTTTTTTTAAGGTTTTATGAGGAGGATATATTTGTTATCTGTCACTGTTTGCACATATCGTCATGGAGTTATTTTATTTTCTCTCCCATCAGTTTGCACAGCAAATAACTGGGATGCGGTTCTGTGAAGCAAGTGCCAAGGATAACTTTAATGTGGATGAAATATTTCTAAAACTTGTTGATGACATTCTGAAAAAGGTAAAATACTCAGGTGGTCGTGTTTCTCTGGTCACACAAATGGTCAATGTTTAAATAATGATTGCACATGCTTGGGAGGACAGAGAACAAGTACACATTGTCAGGTGAAATTTTTGGATAGTATATAGTGGGCATGATGCAGCTCAAAGACTGCTGACCACTGCATTTCACTAATAAGACCCAAAAGACCCTGAAATTGAGGCTTTGGCTGTCAGTGAACTCTTGAAATGAGTTCTTTCTATGCAGATGACTGTTTACAGGTGATTTTTCTTTTCTTTAAGATGCCACTGGATGTTATAAGAAATGAGTTGTCCAACAGTATCCTGTCCCTGCAACCAGAGCCAGAAATCCCACCAGAACTGCCTCCTCCAAGGCCACATGTCCGTTGCTGTTGACTTTTTACTTCCTCCAGAGTGAAAAATATGAGCAGGAGGGTAAAGAAAGTATCTGTACTACTCTGCACTACAATCATTTGGCAGTTTCTCATTGCACTTTGTTATTCGAGTCAGAGCTACACACTAACTTGTAAATATGCAAATATGCAATCCTATGTAGGATTCAACTATAACATTTAATTATTACCCCTCTCCCTCACAATGATGTTTCGTTCATTGCCCCAGTGTTATAAATACTGTACAGTCGGTGGGGGTTTGCCACACATCCAGTTGAGGAGGAGGAGAAATTAAATCTATTCCTATTCTTGACATAAATGTTGTAATAGTTCTTTGTTATTATAAACAGGCAGGCAGAAGCTCTTCTGGTATGAAGATAAGTATATGGTGCTTTGCTAACTATTTTAAAGACAAATTTTTTAAAAACAGAGGACTTTATGTACAAAGCTTCCATAATCAGCATTATGTTTCCTTTTAATGTAGTGAAAACATTTTTGGCTGTAGCATCCTCTGCTGACTGGATTTATTGAAAAGCTAAGTTTAATTTTTGGCAGTCTTTTATTTATTTTGTTTAATGCTGCACCCTTTCTTTGTGTACCAAGACATCACACCTGGTGCAGATCTAAGATTGCACTTTGAAAAAAACATATATAATTTTCTGCATAAACATAAATTTGGTTACACAAATCATTAAGTTTCAATAAAAGAATGGAGATATATCAAGCTCTAAAAGAAGGTATAAAAAAAGCAATGCTGCTGTCCTAGACAAATTCTTGAGAAAAAAAAAATTAAGATGATACATTTTCCTGTGTTAAGGAATATATATGTGTATTTTTGTCTGGACATCTGTAGGGATGGGGGAAGGGAACCTAAGGTAAAATTATTTTCTTTCCTAATGGTGGAAATTATTCCCATCAAGCAAATACTGTGTTAGGATTTTGTCTGATAATGAACTTGTGAATTATATCTTTGGTATATCTTTTATTAAATGCACTGTTTAGTTTAGCTGTGGTAAATCAGTAGATACATATTTGAATAACTTGGTGTGTCCTGAATGTTGTGGTATTGAAAAACATTGTGGTCTTTCTAAACTAATGAAGTGCAAATAAAATTTTGTATTTATGAATGACAGTGGAACTGCACCTGTTATTAGAATGGCAAGTATCAAGTGATGGGTAAAAGGTAGAATCTGGAATATGGAACAACACTTGTGTTAATTTTGTTATGATTTAATTTTCTGTTTGACAGTTCTTTAGGTGTAGTGGGAAGAGCAGCAGACATTAGTTGTTCACCTTGGTCACTGCTCTGTTGGGAGAGCAGCTGATGACCTGGCCCAGCTGATATCTTCAAATAGCATGTGACTGCTTGTCATGCTGCCTTAGCAGGTGGTCACCAGACTATTGGTTACACTGACAACACAAGTATGAACCAGTCTTTTTCACACTACAGCTTCTCTACTTCGCATTCTCTGGTGCTGGAACCCATTTTGTCACCTTTGCCACTCTTCTAGCCAGAACTGGCACTGAACACTAAAGTATACCACTGACTTAAACAGATTCTCTCTGTTTTATGGGAGAAAAAAAAGACACAACAAACTGCTAACACACACCAAAAAAAAGCCCTTATTTCACTGAATAAGCTCTGACATTCTGAATTCAATGCCATGCAGGCCTGTAGCACACCTGGATTTCTACTGAAAAATTAAGGAAAGCGTGGTTGATATTTGTGCTTATGTCTTCTGCCACCTTGTGCCTAAACAGTTCGCTTTTTTAAATAGTAAACTTACAGTTTACTATCCTATTGGTAAGGTAAAATGAATTTCTAAAGCACTTCTAGGAGTTCAGATGATACTGTGGGCAATAGCAAGGAAGGGAAAATTATGGAAAGTGGGTTTTAACTTGACAACCATTTTATTTTAGCGGATTTGTTTTTATTTGTACTTAGAAACTTGTGATTTTTTTTTTCCTGCAGTTTTTGAATTTAATAAAAATTAAGAAATTTGACTTAGATAAACTTTCTTTTTGTAATTCTGTGCTGTTTGTATATAGGCAGATTGGGATCTCAGTCTCTTGTACCAAAAATTAAAAACTATTGCATTTAAGAAGGACATATTTATTTGAGTGCTTGAATGTGTTTTATTATTCATTGGAAATCATAAAAAAAAACCAGGAAACCTGTTTGCTTTCCATGCATTATACTATGAAGAGGGTTTTGTCTCCTGATTTTATCTCTACAGCTTTTATATTAATCAAAACCAGTTTATTTATGCCCTTGCTCCACTCACCAGGGATTAGTGGTGGGATATGGGAAGAGGGGAGGAGGGAAAAAAAGTTATTCATGGTGCTTCCTTGTCTCATATGGAAGTTCAGCAGTCAGCCCAACCTTTGTTGGCATCTAATGATGCTCTATTTATATGGTCTGCACAACCATCAAGGATCACAGGATGGAAAAAAAGGGCAAGATGAGCACTGCCACAACTGTGTTTGCCCATCACCGTTCTTTAGAAGCCCTGGTTAGAGGGGGAGCATTCCCACTCTTCAGGGAGTGTGTGGGGGTTGTTTCCTTCCAACACTGAGCCCAAAAGAGCTTTTGGGCTCAGTGTTGGAAGGAGCTTTTTACACTAAACTCTCATCAGATTCTGTGAAGTCCTTTAGTCCTGGCAGGTTCTTCATGATGGTCAAAATAAATGTGGGAGCATGGCAAGCATAAATCACAGGAGTGTCAGCTGCTCTGAAATAGTGGGTTCTTGACTTTCTTGAATCAGAGAAATAATGAAATATTGAAATTATTAGAGAGATTGTGGTCATTGAAGGGTGGTTTGCCACTGATTTCAATGTGAGGATTGAATACAGTAAATTCCTGATATTATATTATGTCCAGTTAGCACTGTGTCTTTTACCAAAACTAAAATTCTTATCTGTTGGGAGACTCAAACAATCTTTGATTGTGTCCCTAAACTTTTTAACCTGACTGTAATGGACATTCAGCCAGTGGGTTGAGTTAACAGATCATTTTTTCACAACTGAACAGGAAATAGGAACACTGGAACTTTGTCTCATGTCTAACACAGAAAAAACTGTGTCACAGTCACAACACAGAAAAAACTGAAACCACTGGCTTACCAGGACATCTTGAATTACGCACTGTTGTCCTGTCTGTGCTAGAGAAATAGTGACAGTCAAATCTACCTTTCACTAGATTTCTCTGCTCCTTCAGATGTCAGGATTTGGTGCTTCTGTTGAAGAAGGATGAGAAGAAGGTGGGGGGAAAAGGGCTGGAAGTTAAAATACCCAAATTAAACCCCCTCAGCACAACTTCAGGCCATTCCCTTCTTTTCTGTCACTTGTTACTTCGGAGAAGTGACTGACCCCACCTGGCTACAGCCTCCTTTCAGGTAATTTTAGAGCACACTAAGATCCCCCCTGAGGCTTCTTTTCTCCAGGCTAAAGAACCCCTGGTCCCTCAGCCACTCCTCATAAGCCATGTGCTCCCGACCCTTCCCCAGCTGCAGTGCCCTTTCCTGGACACTCAGCACCTCAATGTCTATTTTGTTGTGAAACTGAACTCAGGATTTGAAATGACAGAAAGTGACCCAATGAACACTATCAGCAGCTACCTCAGGACCCTTGGATCTTATCCAGCCCTGTAGACTTGTGTGTGTCTTAACTGGTGTACCAGGTCACTATTTCCCTTTGGATTGTGAGGGCTTTGTTCTGCTTCCCATCCCTGTCTTCCAGCTTAGGTACCCAAAGAACAACTGGCTTTACTATTAAACACTGAGACAAACAGGGCATTAAGTCCCTCAGTCTTTTCCTCATCCTTTGTCATTATGTTTATCCCTCAATTTGTAAAGAGTGGTAATTCTCCTTAGCCCTCTTTTTGTTGTGATGTATTTATGGACATGTTTTTCATTGTCTTCTATTGCAATAGCCAGATTAAGTTCTATCTGGGCCCTGTTGTTTCTAATTTTCTTTCTATATAAGCTCAACACATCCATGTAGTCCTCCTTCGCTGCCTGCCCATTCTTCCAATGTCCCAAACTTTTTTCCTGAGTTTCAGCCAAAGCTCTGATCAGCCAGTCCAGTCTTCTTCCCTGCCAGCTTGTCTTTCAGCAGAAGGGGATGGCCTGCTACTGCAGCTTTAAGATTTCCTTCTGGAGGCATGTCCAGCCTTCTTGGACTCCTTTACCCTTTAAGACTGTCCCCCAAGTGGCTCTGTTAACCAGAGATTAATGTAATTCAATTTAATCTGTTATTTATGTCACCACACTGAAGGGGCAGGAATTTTTAGCAGCAAAGGGTTTGCCTGAATTGGTTTGCCTTTTATCAATTTTGTTTGTGAAAGTGATACCATAACATGATCATTACTTCAAGTGCTAGATTTAAGCAGAATTTGAAATTTGATGGGTCTTTTTGACTTGGGTAAGGATTTTTAGTTCATCCAGTTAACCTTGGAAGCCAGCAGTTTTCTTAGAAACTAGTGCTATTTGTCTAAAGGGGGCTGTTCTGCTGGCTGTCAGTGTGGCCATTGGCTCTGGGATCCTTTTTGTTCCATGCCATTACTTCTGTGCATCAAAATCTCTCTAGTTTGGAAGCTTTATAGCAGATACATTTCTGGGGTAGGAAGGAGGGCAAGGTGCATAGAAAAGGGCAACACAGCAAGCAAACTAGTTTAAAAAGAATGTGAACAAAACTCTTTTCTAGGCAGGGAATGGGAAATGCAGCCTGTTTCCAGCTTGGTCACTTTTCTGTATTGAGAGTTCATTGCCATAAGTTCATCTCTGCAGTCTGTGAAAGACAAAAAGAAACTGCACCAGCCAGCCTGGATTCATTTTCCCTTCTGGTGCTGGCAGTTTCTCACTCCGTGGAAATGGGAGCAGTTTTGCTGAAGCAGAGTCTTTTTCCTCTAATGGAAACGTCTCATTGCTCTCCTGATGGCAGCTATAGTCACTCCTTGGGGAGAAAAGGCACAAATACTTGGACTGTGCCTTTCAAATTGCTACCATCTTATACAGATTCTTGATTGTGCTGATTGCACATCTTCCTTTTAAAGTAGTTTAAATGGGTCAGTTAGAGATATTAGTCCTTAAAGTTTTTTATTTCTTGTTGAAAGATGTAAAACCTATTTGCTTTAGTTTTTAAAGCAATTTAAAGTTGAAGTTGAATTGTTGAATTGAAGTTGAGTTTGGTCTGTCCTAGAATGTGTCAGAATGGCTACATTAAGCACTGTTCACCTTCCTCTTCCTTCTGGCTTCTTAGAACTCTTCAGACGGTCAGGTACGAAGGTGGAATAAAGAAGTTGACACTAAATAGTGAAAAGCGGAGGTGTCAGAGTCCGTATTAGGCTGAAAGGAGGAGTGCTGATCAATGTGAGGTTTTCTGGCACGGCTGGAAATTCCTGCCAGGGCAGGCACTGTTGGGGATCGTCCATTAGGGGTCAGTGAAGCTCTGCCAATGGAGGCGTCTGTTCCCTGCCCTGTTGGATGAGCAATTCCTTCCCACCGATTCCTCCCGAGCAAACGCCTCTTCCGTCAAAACTCCTGCTTTTTCCAAAGCAGCAACGTAAAGCAGTGCTCAGCTGTGGGCACTGGAAATATAGCCAAAGAAATGCACGAGTGTCTTGTTTTGGTACAAGGAAGGAAGTACTGAAGTATTGGAAAGACACTTTATTTTCTGTAGCAAAACTGTGTTTTCTTAAGTGTCTTTTTCTGACAGAAAAGCTATTCTTAGCTAACTTCCAGTTAGCTAACTGCATGATAGATACAATCTGTTTAGTTGTACTTCTTGATGATCCCCTTCAGTAACTTATTCAACAACCAGTAAGTATCCAGATGGGCCTTCTTAATTTCCTAATAAATTAATCAAAATGTAAAAAAAGAGAAAAAACCAACCAAACAAAAAACCAGAAAACCAAAAACCCCACCCTCGCTGTGATTTATTACCTTGCTTTTGCTCAGGACTCATAACAATTTTTTTTATTCTTAGAATTTCCTATGGAATCTGTTTTCTGTACTTGATTAGATGGCCTGGAGTAAAACTATTTTTCCTTCCAACTCTGGCCAAAATATAGGTAAACTGTCTCTTGTCAAGGATGTTTTCCTTAAAATTGTAAAGGTAAAGTTTTTAA